TTACCTTCCCAGTGCAAGAGGAGCTTTGAGGCTGTGGCAGTCCCCTGAAGCAAGAATACCCCCTGATGGCTCAGTGGTTAAGAGCACTGACAGCTCTTCCAGAGGGTTCAGTTCCTAGCACCTACATGGCAGCTCACAACCATCTGTAACTCCGATTCCAGGGAATCTTATGCTCTTTTTTGGCTTCTGTGGTCTTTACACTCATGTGGTACATAGAGGTACATGCAGGCAAAACACAAGTGCACATAAAAATAAACAAACCCTAAAAATGATTTAATAATACTCCCCAGCTGGTGTGTCTTCTTCCCCTGTCTGTTACACATTTCCTCTTTTCCTCATTCCCTCCTGTATTAGTCAGAGTTCTCTAGAGTAACAGAATTTTTAAAAATGGATCTCTCTCTCTCTCTCTCTCTCTCTCTCTCTCTCTCTCTCTCCCTCTCTCCCTCTTCCTCTTACCCCCACCCCGTGTGTGCCTGCGTGTTCGTGTGTGTGTGTGTGTGTGTGTGTGTGTGTGTGTAAAGAGGATTTATTGGAATGACTTCCAGGCTGCAGTACAGCTAATCAAACAATAGCTGGCTGTGAATGAAAAGTCCAAGAATCCAGTAGTTTCTCAGTCCACGCAGCTGGATATCTCAGTTGGTCTTTGGTGTATGCTGGTATCCCAAAGAAGTAGGCTCCAGTGCTGGGGAAGGAGTGGGTGGGCTAGCAAGGCGATGACAAGTAGGCAAAGAGCAAAAGCTTCCTTCTTCCATGTCCTTACAAAAACTAACATCGGAAGGCGTGGCTCAGATTGAGGGTGTGTCTTCCCACCTCAAAGGCCTGGACTAGAAGTGGATTCACTTATTCAAACTAAGCAAAAAATCTCACAGGTATGTCCTCCATATTTGATGGTCTGATCATATCTGGCATTCTTATGTGGGCCTTCTAATTACTTTCAGTGCACTGTCATTGATTTACCCGTGGAAGTAGCCGTGTGGAACTCCTATTGCACATGCATGGGAGTGTGGGGCTTTTGATGACTGTGTGACATTTTCTGAGAAGCAATACCTTAAGTTCAGGTGTTAGACTTCATTCTGCCTTAGTTCCTCAAGGAGAACAACAATGATGTTAAAAATAATTATCAGCCAGGGCGTGGGCCTATGCCACAGCTATCCTTCCATGTTAGCTTAGTTCCACCCCAGTGCAGGACACAAGCAAGCGTGGCTAACTTCCCCAAATGCTGACTGACTGAATGGTACCAATATCGATACCTGTGCTAGCCCTTGGGTAATCACTGAGGCTTTGTGGGGACGGGGAGCACTTAACTATCATTGAGAAGTATTGGGCTTAGCTGTACTTCAGTGCTCTGTTGAAGGCCAAAGAGGATTAATTTTAAGCCTGGTGCCTCTGGAAATCTACTTGCAAAGTTGAAGCTGTAGTAACATTTAGGTGTTACTGAAACAGTCATCGTGAATCCATCAAGCTTGCACTGTGTCAGTCCTTTGCCTCCTGCAGGGAAGAACAGGGTTCCAGGAGTGTCCAGTGCTAGTTCCTCCCTCAAGTGCCTTCTCTATCAGACATACTGGCATGTAGACAACAGAGGAGGGAGGCTTACAACAACACGGAAACAGCTGTTCAATGCCATGTGCTCCCTAAACAGGTCCCTTCCCACCGGCATACCTGGATCTTTTGCTCCTATTCTGTGTTCAAGCACAAAGGTACACAGTGATAAACAACTTCCAAGTTCAGTCCACCATTGCACCTTGCTGGTCTGTCTTCTTCCTGCCAGATTCACCAAAGTAAACAAGCTCAGGGATATTCTTGTTTTTACTCTTTCAAGGCTACAACCCTGAACAGGGTCCTTTGGCCTTTTCTCAGTTTTGAGATAAGAGAAGCGTGTGCCGTGTGTCATTCTCTAAGTACTTCAAATGCTATACAAAAGGTCAGGACTGTAGAAGACTGGCAGGGATGTCAGGGGAAGAGCTTTGGGAGAGTTGACCTTCAGAGCTGAAGCTGGCTATCAGCAGCATCCTCTCGGCTTTCTCTTACACAGGGCTTTTTGGTTTTGCATCATTTTGTCCATGGGTTCTGCAGAGATCATTGCCATGTCATAGCAAGTCTTGGGCTAGAATTATGTGGTGGTAAGGGCATCTGACTGGTTGGAAGACATCAACAGGTGTCCCTCCTTCTGTGACTCTAACTACACATGACTTGTCTATGACTTTTAAGACTGGAGAAAAATATGCACAAAGCATATAGTGGTATCATCAAAGAAAATAGGTTAGTAGTTTTTAAAAATTAGGGGCTTGGGAATGATGTTCCAGCCCTGCCTACTCACAGTAGCAGCACAGACGGAAGCTGAGGTATTGCAGAGATCTTACTGTTTGCACTAACAGAGAGGGCATCAGCGCCTCCACAGGGACACAGCGCCTGTTAAAGGATCTTGTGTCACGCCATGCTAATTTTGTGATTGCCTAAATTAGCACCATTTAAGCAGAAAACTTTTGAAGTAGATTCCCCACTGAGAAGTCTACCAATGCATACTTTATATATGGCCTTTGAATTTCTCTCAGTCCATCATTGCCATCTCTGCAGTTCATCCAGCTGTGTGTGTTTGTGCATGCGTGTATATGAAGGCCCGAGGACTGTCTTGGAAAAGACACAGACCCGAAGTCCATATATACTGCATCTTGTACCTTATGACCCAGCTGCTGAGCTGTTCTCTGATCCCTTTAGGAAGAGCAAGGGAGGGGGTTAGGATCTAATGTGCTTCATCCTGCCTTCCTTTCCACCCTCAGCCCCAGGCAAAGCACTACAGACTTCTTGGCAGAGTCTGCTGTAAGGAAATGTGGTTTGGTAATCACGTTAAAGGTTCTGCTAAACCATGCTGTGGAGTATCTGTTAGCAAGATCCTTCCGGTTGCGAATGTGTGTGCTTTAGAACTGGGCTTCTGGAACTGTCTCCACTCTGGAACCTTTGCATCTGACAGAGTTTTATATGGACCTGGTATATAGGAATATACACTAAGTATGTACATTTTAAAAAAATACTGATAATGAACCATAAGAATATTTATCTTAAAACAATTATTTGGCACATAAATATGCATATGTGTGTATCATTTATTAAAGACAAAAGGAAATGTACATACTAATGAGATGGAAATGCTTAATTTTTATCTAAAGGAATACACCTTAGCTGAATATTTGTATTGCAGAGCACAGTGTGTTTAACATATTTCAGAGTTCATAGACACTTGTTTTTATAATCAGACTGAGAATGCTACTTTACATAAACATGTACTACAAAATGGCAAAAGTGTTTTTACAGCCATTTCAAACGTCATTGGAAATTCTGTCCTAACCCCAAGCCAAAATTCATTTTTTTCAGTGAAGTATAAGCAAGCAACTCAAACATTCTAACACTTTTTTTTTATTTCTGTGTATGCATTTTTTTGTCTTCTTATGTATATCATATGTGTGCCTGGTGCCCACAGAGGTCAGGGGAGAGGGCATTGGATCCTCTGGAACTGAAGTTATGGATGGTTGTGAGCTGCCATGTAGGTGCTGGGAATTGAACCTGGGTCCTCTATAAAATCATCAAGTGCTCTTAACTACTGAGCGCTCTCTCTCTCTCTCTCTCTCTCTCTCTCTCTCTCTCTCTCTCTCTCTCTCTCTCTCTCCCTCAAGTCAAACATTCTAATCCAATCCAAGTATATACTAACTTGATACTTACATGTTGAGGAATGGTAGTAGGAAAGGGTTAAAAGTCTTTGTATTCCATAATTAAACATTACGCTTCTACCATAACAAATATTTCATATGTACAGTAAAAATACTGCATTGATAGCATGCAGTCTTCCCAGATCTGAGTGGATGTGTTCTAGGCATGCTCATTAGTGTTGTATTTCTACAGAAAGTCCAGTGCAAAGGGCACATGTTGCGTGTTCAGAAACAAGACTGTAGTGAAGTTGCTTGAGCAACACAGGCAAACACTCCAAGAAACACTCCAGACTGGTTACTTATTTAATTTTGAATTAATTTTGTTGCTGCCAATTAGAAACCTTGTCTTGCTACCAGTTTCTTTGCAACCCACGGTTTCAAGATGCCGAGTTTTACAGGGTCAACTTTTTTATGATGAGTTTCCATTGATGATGAAATCAGAACTGATGGGGATCTTTTCTTTAATTTATCTCATATGTGCGCATATGTGCACTCCTGCCTGTCTGTTTATGTACCATGTGTGTTCACATGCCCACAGAGGTCAGAAGAGGGTGTCAGAACCCCTGCCATCTCTCCAACCCACCAATGAGGCTCTTACATTATATTGAAATGCAAAATACAAACCATGATTTTTCTCTAATTGTTCTAATCAAATCTTAAAAAAAAAAAAAAAAAGATCTAGGTCCCCATATACATTAAGGTTTGTGAATTAACATATTTAGCTCACATGCTCTTGTGACAAGAGCTGCTGAAATCCACACATTTGACAAAATTTCCTGATGCAAACCAACTTTTATCAACATCAGTCCTTGGACTAGAGAGATGGCTTGGTCAGTAAGAGCACTTGTTGCTCCTGCACCCACATGGTGGCTCACAACCATTTGTAACCTCAGGTCTGAGGGATCTGACACCTACTTCTGACTGCTGCAGGCACCAGGCATGCACATGGTACACATACATACATGCAAGCAAAAGAGTCATAGCACACAAAATAAGATGAATCTGAAAAACTTAACTCCAGTCCTGGCATTTTACATTATTACCTTTCTGGTTTTACGAATACATCCTTCATAACAATAGCTTTCCAAAAAAAAAAAAAAGAAATAGAACCTAACATCTATAAGAAACAATGTTTTAATGTTCTGCATTAAAAATTTTGAAGAGTTAATGAGAAAAAATCTACTCCAAATGGCTAGGACTAATGCAAATCAATATTTTTCTTTAACACATTAATTATAAAATGTACTGACATTGTTAATCAATACTGGGTATATTAAACCAGGTGTTTTTCTTTTAAAGATATTCTGGAGTGTGTACAATAACATCCCTCCTGTGACCAGCCTGCCTTTGAGATGTAGTTATCACTTAATGAGAGGAGAGAGGCGACCACTTTGGTAAGTATGTATGGTTCTCCTGGAGGTCAAGGTGGGTGGGAAATACCCGTGAACCCCACGAGGACTCTTATCACCTGTGGCATGCCTCTTACCAAAAAGTAAGGGCTTATCAAGGCCCAGTTCCTCAGAGGAGCCTGATGTGGCTTCCTTTGGTGTAGTAGTGATGGCATTGGACAGTTAGTTTGCCCAGGCTGGCACCTCTAATACCAGTAAATCTTTATATCCATTAACCTTTCACAGTTACTTACTCAAAGTAAAATAAAATTCTGTCTCAGCTCATTTCTCAGTGAATAGGAGAAATATAAATTGAACAAAAACAAAGTTGTATTTTGTTGGAGCCTGTGATGAGGTGTCTACAGTTAGGGCTGGTGTCCCACACTTCTGGCTTTCCAGGTTTCATCTGGACTTTGACACTCTCAGTCAACATTCCGTTGCTTTCTCAATGTTGGCTAAGTTTTCACTCAGGCTTTTCTGCTTCTGGGAAAATAGATCTCAAGTTCCAGTCTTTTTTGAACACTGGGATTAAACCTGAAGCCTGTACCACATGCTCAACATCCTACCGTTGAGCTATAACCACATCCTCGTTCCACCCAACCCCAGTTTTTGAGACAAGGTTGGATAGATTTGCTTAATCTGACCTTGAACTCACTTTGTAACCATTATAAGCCTTAAACTTGCCGATCCTCTGCTTCATCTAAATATCTGGGGTGGCAGACCTATACTACCAGTCCTGCTAGCTGTGAGTGGTGATTAATGCCCTTCAGGTTTATCAGTGTCAGCATTCTTCAATCACAATAAAATCTAGGGCTCAGCCGGGCATATGTCTTTAATCCCAGCACTTGGGAAGCAGAGGCAGGCAGATCTCTGTGAGTTTGAGGGTAGCCCAGTCTACAAAGCTGCACAAAGAAACCCTGTCTTGAAAAATCAAAAAAAGAGAAAAATCTAGGGCTCACCATGGATCAGTTCTCCATGCCGGGCCAATCAAGAGATGATAAAATGGTCTCATAAGCAAACCTGGGATACGAGTATATCTTTAAAGCTATGATATGGAATTAATCCTACGAGAATGCTTTTGACAGGGAAATTGGGATGCTTTTCCTAGAGAGGAAGTGGTTATTAAACCATGATCCACCACAACAGCACTTGTTAAATCTGTGACCCAAGTTAATGTGAATTAACATGTGAATTAAATGAGACTGTATTATGAAGATGCTTTGGAATGTAAAAGTCTTTACACCTGCAAAGTTGGTGCATCAGTTGTCCATCCCCAGAGAGTCAGGAAAGCTCCTGGGTACCACTTCCTTGAGAAGGAGGACCTTGTATTCCTGCACCCACCCTCATCCCCATGACAGTTGATTCCGTGTTGCTCCCTGTCATCTCCATTCCTTCCCCATTTCATTCTTCGGCTTTTGTTCCCAATCATACGGCTGTTGAATATTTACTGAAAAATACCTGTGCACTTTTGTTTTTCATGCCAGCTACTGTTAAATGAAAACAGGAATATCCCTTTCTGTGAAACTTTAAATGTTGTTCTTTGATGTAGGGAGGAGGAGAGTAATGCAAAGGGTGGCGTGTGGAAGATGAAAGTTCCCAAGGACAGCACGGTATGTCTCTGCTGAGCATCTGTCTGGGCATGGGGTTGAGCATGTTGTGTTTTTCAGAAGTCTGCTGGCAGCCCTAGGTTGAGAAATCCATTTCTACCATTAGTGATGATCACTGAAGATGTATAATTGAAAAAGCCAGGTATTGTGGTGCACACCTTTAATCCCAGTACTCAGGAGGCAGAGGCAGGTAGATCTTTGAGTTCTAGGCCAGTCTGGTCTACAGAGTGAGTTCCAGGACAGCCAGGGATAAACAGAAAAACCCTCCCTCTCAAAAAAAAAAAAAAAAAAAAAAAAAAAAAAAAAAAAAAACAAAAAAAAAAAAAAAAAAAAAAAAAAAAAAAAAAAACAGAAAGAAAGGAAATGTGTAATTGTGAATCTACAGAAATCATGCAATAGCATCCATGTATTATGTAGCCATGGAGGTCTACCGCCTATAAACTTTAGAGCAAAGCTAAAGATCATGGTAGCTGTTTCCTCATCAGGCATGCCTGATGTTTGCAAACTGATCTTCCACAGGAGATCATGGTTCTTCCCACCAAAGGCTCTGTCCTCTTGACTAAAGACAGAAGTACCTCCAGAAGGACTATGACATGGTAGATGGGGAAACTTAGGGGGTTGCTCATTCATTGGGGTTCATGGAGCTGAGTAAGCTTCAGCAGTCTAGACTCCCCAGCAGTGGACTTACCACTGAAACATGAGTGTAAGCTTTAAAAGTTAGCATGTGTTAAGCCCTGGGAAAACACAAAACTCCTTTGGAAATAGACAAAATGACCTGGGCATGGAAAGGCATCCCTGCAATCCCAGAGGCTGAAAATAAAGGCAGGAGAATCATGAGTTCAAGTCTTACCTATGCTATTCAGTGAGACCCTGTGTTAAAAAACAAAAATAGGGGCCAGGAGAGATGACTTAGTTGGTAAAGTGCTTGCCCTGGAAGCATAGGGACCTGGGTTCTAATCCCCAGGACCCATGTAAAAAAAGGTGGTGTGGCTGTGAACACCTGATACCGAGCCCAGGGAGGGAGAAACAGGAGGATCTTTGGGACATTCAGACAGCTGGTCTAGGCAAGACAGTGAGCCCCAGTTCAATAAAAAAAGATCCTCACCCAGCTGGACAGTGGCAGAGGCAGGTGGATCTCTCTGAATCCGAGACCAGCCCTGTCTGCAAAGCTAGTAGCACAGCAAGGACTGTTACACAAAGAAACCCCATCTTGAAAAACCATAAAAGAAAAAAGATCCTCACTCTCAAAAAATTAGGTGGAGATATGATTGAAGAAATCAACCTCTGGCTACCACATACCCCTGTGTGAGCGAGTGTGCTCGCCTGTGCACACACGAGGGAGGGGGGAGGAGAGAGAGAGAGGGAGAGGGAGAGAGGGAAAGAGATACACAGCTAAGCAGGAGCCAGAAGAGGTATATGAATCCCTCTGCCCTGCTAAGAGAGAGTGAGCAGCAAATAGGAAAGAGCAAGATGCTCTTAGATTTTCTTCACTTTCACTAAGGTGTCCCCTCTTTTCATGTGTGTTACTGCACTTATTTGCTTGCTTACTTTTGAGGTGATGGGGAGCTACTCTGGGACCTTGCACATTCATGTGCCTTATTTGGAATTAGACTAGGAATCATCCTAAGCTTGGAACTCTAGTGGAAGCCATCATGATGCCTACACCCATAGAATTAACCTGCCCCTCCTTGCCAGCTCACTAGGCTGAATTTAGGCACCATTGCATTTTCTTGTCTGGACAGGTGCCTGGGCTCTTATGTCTCAGCCCCCCACTAGAAGTCTGGAAGGCTAGAGCTGCCTGTGTTCAAAACAGAAGCATGAAGGCTCCCTTGCCCTGCTTTCCTCTCCCAGCCCAGCTTCATCACCCATGGAGCTCAAGATCAAAGTTGGACAGATAGGAGAAGGGAAGGGCTAGGAAAGAAGGCGGAAGCCTTTCTAGGAGTAAGAGTTCACCTTCAGCTCCTCGGTAAATGCTATTGCCTTGATTGAAAGATAAGCAGCTGCCACAAGCTCATTAGAATGCAATAATAGGCATTATTACAGTGAATGTGTAGTGAGCGCCTGGCATATGATGCATGCAGCTGTTTATGGTGCAGTCTTCAATCTTGAGCCCTCTTGTTGCAGTTACTGACAAATGCTATACTTGTAACAACCTTGTGAGGTCAGTTCTGTTGTTACTCCCTCCAAGATGGGAGCTAGAGAAGCTGATGGCCTGCCCAGGTCACAAAGAATAAAGTGTGCAACTTCTCCATTCAAACTGGGTTCTGGGAGGCCTCAGAGCCTAGGAATCCTGGCAAGGGGGAGCCTAGACCTTTTCCAGGGAAAAAACTGGAGAGCCATTGTGCCTCCAGTGTTCTGTGAGTGGAGTCTGTCTACTTGACACCATTAGTAAATCCCCCGTAGAAGGAGCTCTGGTGCTTCTCACTGGTACAAGGCAGAGTGGCATGCAGACTAATCATTACTTCCAGGGAAATTGTGTGTGTGCAATAGTACATAAATTTACCACTCCGTGCAAACAACCTGTCAGCAGTGAATGGAATTTTGCAAGTCTCTAGCATTCAGTAAATAACAATGTTTATTAACATTCTTGACTTGAGGAACATCTTAAGTGGTAACATTTTAAGTACTCCATCGACTGCAGAGGGAGAAACAAGGATTGTTGCACTTAAATGTAATGGGTTGGTACACTGTCAATCAGTAAGAGTTAAAGACAGCAAACAGTGAGGTGAGTTGAAGGTGGTGAGCTCCCTGCCCCAGTTCTTCTGGAGTTCATGGGGGCTTCGCTAGCAGTCAAGGCCCTGGATCACTTGTTATTTATGTGGGCAGTCATTTGCAAGCTGCTCTCATACCTGCAAGACTGCACATGTTCACTTCTGTAATTTGGGGGTGTCTGTAGGTTCCAGCTGTGGGTGAGGAGCTTGTGTTTCTTTTTAGCACCTGATAACTGCCTAAACATTGTCTTGTTTTTATTTTTATTCTCTCCTACCTCAGTCCACAGTTTGGAAAGAGTTGTTGTTAGCGACCATTGGGGAGCAGTTCACAGACTCTGTGGCAGCAGGTAGGGAGGCCACAACCCAGTTATCCACACCCTGGTATGCTTGGCTCCTGTTTGCTACTCACAGACCTTTGTCTTCATGTGTTAATCTTTCTGCCTGCCTGCAAGGGCTTCATTTTGTAGCTGTGATGTCATTTAGACTTGTTTTGTGGATGGTGTTTGGTGTGAGCTTTATGTAATTAAGCACATTGCATATTTAAATGTGTGTAGTCAGCCCTTCCTGTCCTCTGATCTTGCATCCACGAGTTCACAGATCAAAAATAGTAGAAAGCATGAACAATGTCTGAACAAAACAATACATATATTTTCCCTTGTTAGTCAAGAAATAATACAATGCAAACAACTTGCACAGTATGTGCAAGTTACAAGTAAAAAAGAGATGATTGAAAATAAGTTTGGTCTGGCAGTATACCTTTGTGGTAGAATACGTACCTGGTTTGCAAAAACAAACTGCTGCAAAATAAATACCTAAATAATTAGTATGTGCAAATGACCTTTTACATAAGGGACTTAAGCATCCATGGTATGGAGGGGGTCTAGAACTTATCCTTAATAAATACCAAGGCCTGGATATATATAAACATCTATAAAAACACATGTGAGTGTGTATATATATGTACATATATATGAAATAATGTAGGCACATGTATTTTATGACAGTTATAGCCATTCATCTATTATAAATAGTCAGAAAGAAAAGAAAAATCTTTATCAGTAGGCCAGGATTATTTGTAGTAGGTTCCTGTGGCTGCCTCATCTCCTGGAGGGGGAAGTGTCTGCCATGTCTAGTGGAATCTGTGGGTGGATAGGGACAGTCCCTTTCTTCTCTCTCAGCTTATTCCCTTTCCCTTGTTCTCCTGGGTCTGTTCAGAGAGGCGGACACTGGGAGGCAAAGATGTCTCACTGTTCCTGCCTACAGTCTCTCAGCTAAGGTTGAAACAAAAGCTTCAGCGACTTGCCTTTGGAGAAGGCTTTGACATGCTGAGTGACTTTCAGAGAGCCCCTCTGGGAGCAATGATTTTGTGTGTGTGTTAGGGCTGGAAATCCTAGACCTTATGCATCTAGCCATGAACTCTGCCACAGTCATACCTCTTCCCCTCTGTGAGCCATCTTAGTTCACCATTCAGAGAGGGGTTCACTGCTTGTATCAGGATCTCTTTTCTTCTTGGGACACACATCCCCAAAACTTCTGAGGATACATTTAAAGTAAAATTTTGTGGGTTTTATTTTATTTTTTGTTTTTGTTGTTATTGATTTTAGGATTTGTTGTTGTTGTTTATTTTTTTTATTTTCTTCCATGCTTTTGACTCTGGGTTTTATTTGCTGTTTTGTGGTGTGTGTGTGTGTGTGTGTGTGTGTGTGTGTGTGTGTGTGTGTTTGTGTGTGTGTTTGTGTGTGTGTTTGTGTGTGTGTGTATACTGTTGTGGATCAGTTGGTACCCAGACTTAGTCTGTCTCTGAGAGCTCTTGTCACCTTGACAGTCATATGGACCAATCTCACATTCACCTCGGCGGGGGGAGGGGTGGTGCTCAGCCATTCTGCCATTCTGTACTGCCTTTCACACCACTTTTCCTCCCTTCAGACAAGATGAAATGGTTATACAAGTGCAGGTTTCTTCTGTTTCAGTGGAGAAAAGCTAACCACTTTATACTGCACAGCCCAAAGTGCACCCTGTGTGTAGCTATAAACACAGAAGTTGATAAGTAATAACAAATAGCCAATAGTGAGCAAAGAAGGCCAATTCTTCTGTGCCTGCCCGGAAGGGAGGGTACTATTAACTATTAACCTTCAGCACTTCTATTAACTAGCTCTGTCACTTGAGACAACCAGCTAATCTTTTTCACTCTCACTTAGAGAACGTGTTTAAACAATGGCTGCTCCTGGCCCCACTGTCTCCTGCTGCTAGCCCTCTGCCACAGTCCAGGTGTCACTGGCTGATTGTCCATGTGAGCTTTACGTATTTTACCATGGACCTGCCTTCTCCTAAGGGCTGTGGGCTTCTTACAACACTGTTTGCAAAAGGGCTGTGCTCAGCTATTCCTGTCTGCCAAAAGCCAAGCCAAACCGAAACAGTGACTACTGCCCTGTTTGGCATCTTAGCCACTACCAGAAGTGGGTAAGATGCCAAAGGATTGGGGACACTCACATCTCCCCACAACACTCCTGGGTTCATAGTATCCTGGCCCTTCTTGAGGGTGACATGCTAGACCACTTCTTTCTTTGTGCAGTAATTTTGTTTTTACATGAAATTTATCATTGAGTTCTGAAAACTATATTATTTTAAATCCACCAACAAAAAAAAAGGAGCAGTGCTTTTCTTGACATGAGAGATTCTGAGGTTGGCCACGAGCAGATGCAGTCTTGCTGTTGTTTTAACTTGTATTTGAATGTGATGCATGTGCAGAAAAACCCCTGTACATGCCTGGCAACAAGTCACAAGGTGAGCATGTCCCTTAGTGAGTTTATAAATTAAGAAGCAGGGCATTAATGCCTTCTTGCCCACCAACCTCTCTCATCTTTCTCTTCTTCAGAGGATGCTGTCAGTGCAACTTTAAGCACCATAGTTTCATTTTGCCAGTTCTGAACACTTACATACATGTTCACATGGTTTCAGATCATGCACCCATAGCCATGATCAAGTTCTTTCATAAAGGAAACTAGGCAGTGAGGAAGGAAGGGAAGGGGGAAATGGAGAAGTGGGAGTTATTTCACAGAAAAAAACTCTTTGGGTAGACTGGGTGTGCCACTGTGCGAATCATACTAAATACCACCATGTTCTAATGTCCAGGAGACAAGTAGAAAAATTGATGGCTTGAGCATTTCAACTTACAGGAGATGGCAAATTAGCAGCATGCATCAGCTAACATAAAACTCCCTAACTGCAGTAATTGCCTTTCTCTTGCATGCTGCTTATTGGCATAGAGTATGCAAGTACAGGGAAATGACTGTTTAGTGAATGTGTCGTCTACATGCAAAACTTGGAGGCAAAAGCCTCCACTTCTCTCATTTTGCTGCCAGTTAGTGTGGACAGAGTGACTGCATGGGACCATAATGGCACAATAGGTCCATCATCCAGCTGCCATGCTCGAGTGTCTCCGTGACAACCCCATGTTGGAGAAAGTCTACGGTAATCAGTATAGGTTGATGCCTATTGACCATTCATGGCAGAGTGTCACTCAGGAGACACTCTGACTTTACCTTGTAGAGCTAACTTTACCTTGTAGAGCTCTTTAACCCATGATTCAACCCAGTCGGGGGTGATGCTAGAAGGAAGCACCAGAGGGCAGAGTGAATAGGAAACGGGCAGACAGACAAGCCATGCAAAGCAGAGGAGCCACTGGACACACTAATCTGGGTCCTGCAGGTTTTGGAGCAGATGGCACTGGTAACCCCAAGTTCTCCAAAGGCTTATCAGGAAGTCACAGAAAGTCTTACTGCTCTTAATAGAGAGGGCCAGGCTTCAAGCAAAAAAAGAAAAAAAAAAGTTCATCCGAGTTCACTTGGCTTTCAGAGGGCAGAGAATTATGCAACCTATTTTAGAAAAAGTCTCATCAAAACAGAGTCAGAAATTGACAGAAAGCTTTGGGTAACATGTTTAAAAGGGTAAAATTACTTATCTGGAAAATTCATTTGGCTTGAACATTCTGTTTATCGAGTCCCCGGCTAAAAGTGATGTAGCTCTCGAGGTGTCTGTGCCGACTTGACTTTCCCCAGCAGTCACCCACAGAAACAGTCAAGCAGTCACTTACAAGTCCCTATCTTATGTGTAACTCACAGCTAAAGTGATAGGCACTTAGATGTGGCCAGAATGGCTTGTAGCATACTCATTCTTGCCTTTTCCTCCTGTTCCCCTCAGATGACGAAGTGATAGGGGTCAGTGTGAGTGTTCGGGACCGAGAGGACGTCATCCAGGTCTGGAATGTCAACGCCTCCTTAGTGGGCAAAGCTACTGTGCTTGAGAAGATCCATGAACTCCTGCCCCACGTATCTTTTAAAGCCGTGTTTTATAAACGTAAGTGCTTCATTTCCAATCACTGTTTTCAAGGTTCTTCTACCAGACTTGTAGAGATAGCAGCACATTGCAAATGAGGTGAAGGCAGAATTACCCAAAACTCTATTAAAGCAGAAAACAATTCAACACAATACTCTTTTAAGTGTTTTTTAAATCAAGTTTAGTTTCAGAGATTAAAATGAGATTTTGCTCTTGCCTAAGTACATGAATCTGAAAAGCAAATACACATTGTATTTGCTATTTCACAAATTTAAACTTAAATTTGTCAGAGAAAGTTATTTTCTATTGGAAATAATAATAACAAATAAACACACACACACAACACACACACACACACACACACACACACACACACACACACACACACACACACACAAATCAGTCAGTGAGCTTCCAGGTAGATGGTCAATCAACCCTTCCTACACAGAAATTTATAATGTCTAATATCTGTACTTATGGGGGAGCTCAGGCATGACTAACAGTTCTACTGAAATGCTCCCACTTTCTCATTGTGGTGACTGTGGCAGAGTCACCAAGAATCTACATGCAGTGGTACATGCAACTCTTGGTGTGAATAGGTGTGTGGACCCATTGTTTCCATTGTGATTTGTGTTTGTTGCTCTTGTGTGCTTTCTATAAATCAGTCATCTTTTTCATAATGAGAACATCTTAGCACCTTTGAACTGGTGTTTGATAGTTCAAATGGTGGGTTACACATTCAGTTCAATAGTGAGTTAAAGGAAGCGATTGACAGCCCCACACACATTTGTAATGGGCTGTCTATGTCCCAAACGGTTCAGGAAGTCACTCACCATTTTTTCTTACTATTGTATTTCATTGACTCTAAGGTGCTCTTGAGCATAGAACACCCTAATATCTTAGTATTTAAAGGAAGAAAAAATAAGACAAGGTTTTCAGTTAAACCAGGATGCATTGTTGACTCTAGAGGTTGTGAGATTTGCAGGGGACAGAGCAGGGGGCATCTTAGAATCTCTGAAATATGCTCCATCATAGTCTCACTAGTCCTGGTCCTTGTCAAGAATCTAAACAAATTCACATTTTGTGATTGCCCTTGTGTTAGAGCATGTATGAAAACTCAGGCTTCCCTGGAGGAGTCCTGTAGCCGTCATCAAAGAATCAGGGTCCACACAGGGAAAGGGATCCTGCACTCTGTGCACTTAGGGGTGCCGATCCTCTGAATTGTAGTAGAAAGCTTAAAATGAAATAGCCTGAAAATGCACTCTGAAGAGCTTGTCTGTGCAGTGTGGAGACAGGGCTGGCACATGGATACCATTAATGTCAACTGTAGTTCGCCCCAGATAGCAAAAGGTTTCCAAAGTGTTTTCTGATTCCCAGTCATAAGAATAACTAGCAAAAACTACAAAAGGAAATGTGAGTTAGGGCCAAGGTCAAGTGGGCCCGCACTTGAGTCTGCCCAACACTTGACTCCAAGGTGAGAGTCATTGGGTGTTTACCACACTTCACCAATGTGACCCTTAGCAGTTTCACTCTCTCACCTGTGTCCAGAAGGTTGGTCTCAGATGATCTCCAAGGTTCCTTCTTCTTTACAGTTCTGTGAACAAATTGACATGTGACAAACTGGTCAGCAGCTCAGCATGAAGTCCGTCTCAACTTAGATAACTAGACTCCAGCTTTAGGGCCAAGGCATAGTCACGTAAGAATGACCAATGGTAGGGGATTCACTACTTAGCTGTTGGTGTGGCTGGCAGGAGGTGAGGTTGGGCTCAGGGAGGGGGAGGACATCAAGCAAGGAGAAAGGAAGAGGCACCCAGGTCAGCTGAATGAAAGCTGAAGAGACTACACCCTAAAGGTAGTTGACATTGTCACCTGTGAGTCAGAAGTAACTAGCTGCAGCTCTAAGCAGAAAACTGCTCTTTAATGATACACTTTAACATTTAAAATCTCAGAGTGTGCAATTTAAAAATTGGAATTCCCTGTATTTGACAAGAAGCAGGCTGTCCTTTACCTGACACTGTTGCCAGCATGTTTTATAGAAGTGATCTGGAAAAATGAGGTCTGGACAGAAACTGGTTCGCAGGGTGAGGGACAGTCCTGGGTGAGCGAGGCTGGAAGTGACTAGTTCATGCCACCCTTGTCTTAATGGCATCCTGGTGCTTGGGAGTTTGTAGAAGCTAGCTGGCTAGATGACTGGAATGCCGGAAGAATCTAATACATCCAGTCCTGGCCTCCAGTGAGCAGATGAGGAACTGGACATTGGTGCTTAATGTGATTTCCATCCAAGATTGAATTTACACACACCCTCCCTAGTTCCATCAAGTTCCTTGGGAAGCTGAAAGACAAAGGCCTTTATATGGTATGAGCATCGTGTAGAATGGGCATTGGAAAGTCAGGAGCTGAAGCTGAGCCAGCCTCTCACCACCCCCGACCCCACCTCAGTCATTCCATGTGAATGAAGCAGAGAGCAGTCCCTACATTTTCATATGATTGGGAAAAGGCAAAACTATATGTGACACATGAAAATTCTATAATACCAAGTTTCAGTAGCTTGGTTGCATAAAGAAGCACTCATTTGTGTCCATATTTTCTATAGCTTCTTCAGCAACCAGGGATTGTGCGGATTACTACTAAAACGTCTGGTGGCTCCTGGGTCTGAAAAGTCCCCTAATCATCTCCCCAGTTGCTTCAGGGATGACAAATGGCCCTCAGAGCCCAGATTCTCACAGTAGTGCAGTGTATCTGCTGTTAACTTCTGACCCCAGACACTTCAGTGGTTCAGCTGTTGCTGTCCTGACCCTGAACACCTAGAGATAAGGAAAATCTTGGCATCATCACTGCCTTTGGATGTATAGTGTGCATATCAGCATTCCTGTCAGTTTATGGCTCATCAAAGTGGCCGTGAAACATAGTATATGCCACTGAAGACCAATCTATGCATTATTTGGGGTCTGCCCTACAATATCTTTATTAAAGATAGGAATTAGGGTTGGGGAGCTAGCTATGCAAGGGGACCTGAGTTCAGTCCCCAAAACTCACATTTAAAAATAGCTTGGGCTAGGCCCTGAGGAGACGGCTCAGCAGTCAGGATTGTACAGTGCTCTTTCAAATGACCCAAGTTCAATTCCCAGCACCATGGTTTACAACTGTCTGAAACTCCAGGTTTAGGGGATCTGACTTCCAATTCTGGACTCTACAGGAACCTGCACTCATGTACATACTGCCACACAGTACATATAATTTAAAAATCGGTTGCTAAAGAAAATAGGTAGGGCTGGAGAGAAGGCTCAGGTGTAATAGCACTTGCTACATAAGCCTGATGACTGGAGTTCACATCTCAGCATCTTTGTGAAAAGCTGGGCATTGCCACTCACACTGTAACTCCAGCACTGTACAGGCTGAGACAGGAGGCTCACCAATGCTTTCTAGCCCTAAGCCTGTCCCAAGTTCAGTGAGAAAGCCTATCTCAAAGGAATACATCAGAAGTGACAAAGCAGGACATCCAGTGTCCTTCCTCAACCTCTAGACATGAGGCATAAGTACGTGCACCAATCCAATCAGGGGCACATACAGCATGTACACACAGCATATACACGTACATAACACACACATATGCACCACACACACAGACAGAAGCTGAGTGTGTTGGTATCTATGTATAATCTCAACACTGGGGAGGTAGAGACAGGTGATTTCTGGGGCTTGCTGGCCAGGCTAGCCTTTAGCAAGTTCCAAGGCAGTGAGAGATCCTGCCTCAAAACATAAGATGAATAGCATCAAGGAACAACTGCCAAGATTATTCTCTACCCTCCACATCCTCTCAGTCTCTCTCCTTTTCTCCCTCCCTCCCTCCCTCCTACCCCCTACACATGCATGTGTACCTACACATCAGAAACATAGCCAAATAAAGAAAATATTTTAAAAATTAAATACTTAGGAAACTGAAGTGGTGAGAGAGATGCAATTAAACTTGAGCAGATATTAGTTCACCAATTCTAGTCACCCTGGGAGTTACAAGGTGCATCTTTCCCAGTGGTTTCTCTAGATGAATTGCTGCTTAGAGTAGCTCCCTGAGGTGATCTTGAAGGACGGCTAACCCAGCCATCCTCTTAAAAATAGCTGGAGATATGGAAGCAGAGCAGAGTGCTCAGCTCTGTCTCCTGTTATTGTCTGGGGAAGTGAGTGGACTTGGGCTGAATAGCCCTGACTGTATCAGACCTTGCTTCATAGTGACATCTGGACACCTCCAACTCAAACTTGGCCCTTTGCATTGCAGCTAATAGTGCATGTTTCTTGTCTTCCAGTTTAAAAAATTTAAGTCTCCAAAAAGCATAACTTTTATTGTTAGTTTTCTAACTAGTAATTCCACGAGACAAACTATGAAACCCCTGAGGTGTGGGGTGAGAGTTTTGGAAAATAATAAAACCATCCGTTTTATGAAACTTCATTTTCCACAGAAGGTGTTGAGAAGCAGGGGGTATAATATACGCCCCCTGTGTGGTTCTGTTTTGTTTGAGGTTATTTTATTCTTGAAGGTAGGCTTGTGAATGGCTCTGTCCTAGGTCATAGGTTCCCCCCTTCCCATGCATTTTTGTGAGGCTCATTTTCCCTGTAGCAATTGCCCAGAGCCCAACATCCTCTCCTCATCAACTTGTGTGGATGAGTCATCCCCCCGAGGCACAGCAAGAAGAAGCAGGCAGCATGCCCATAGCTTGTTTATTCCTTGTTTGAATTTTCATTATTACGTTTCTGAGGAAATGCACGACTTAGCTAACAGTTACTGGCAAAAAAAAAAAAAAAAAAAAAAAGAAAGAAAGAAAAGAAAAGAAAAAGGTATTTGAGTTCTTGCCAACATCTGGGGAAGCTGAATGAGATGCCTAGAGGGGGGTCGGCCCATCCTTTGCTTAAAGTTTTCTTTCCTTCTTTTCCTTTTTGTTTTTTTTCTGTCCTTTAGCCCATGAAGAGCATCATGCTTTTGAAGGTGGACGTGGAAAACACTAATTGCACTCTGTAAAGAATTCTTTATCCTTTGCTGATTGGTTTTGGAAACGGTCTTAACAGGAGGGAGAGTGAAGAGAAGACTTGCCGAAGCCCGATGCTGGTCCATTTAGAGTGGGTTTCTGTCCTTACAGACTGGGCGGTTAGGACTCTAAGTGGCAGGTGGGCTTGGGGGAGAGCGTGTGGGTTTCTGCCATCATATCACTTGGGGTTTTTTTTAAGATTTTTTTTTTTTTTTTTTTTTTTTTTTTTTTAAATTTTTTTTTTTTTTT